ACTTCAGGATAACGTGGGACATAATGTGCTTTCACAAAGGTTTTACACTTCTACTTCAGGATAACGTGTTACATAATGTGCTTTCACAAAGGTTTTACACTTCTACTTCAGGATAACGTGCTACATAATGTGTTTTCACAAAGGTTTTACACTTCTACTTCAGGATAACGTGCTACGTAATGTGCTTTCACAAAGGTTTTACACTTCTACTTCAGGATAACGTGCTACATAATGTGCTTTCACAAAGGTTTTACACTTCTACTTCTACAAATCAACTATGCTTTTACTTGTACAAGTTATTTTTCTTTGAAAAATCAAAGAAGTGAACGACAGAGAAGAAGTGTTGAATACTGGATAGCTGTAAACCTTGCGTTGTGGGCGAGTATATGGAGATGAATAAGTTAGTTAACTTAAATAAATAAGATTTACAAAGTTTTTTGTTCCTGTTTGTGAGTGGTACAAAAGTCTGAACGGATACAAAACAAAACCCCAAACTTTGAAAATATGAAGGAAAAACCGCAATATTATAACATAATTACCAATAACAAAACGTTTCGTACAGGGGGTTAATGGAGTTCAACTTTCAACATGTTTATATGTTGTTATTAAACAGGCATTCAACGATGAAGTAGTACATAGACATGACAGAAAACTTGTTTATCGTACCGGAGGTTATCATCCACATTCCGTTGACACCCCCATCCCCCACAGACGGGGACTGCCTCCTCACATTTCAACGGCAGTTGGATTGGGAGGCAGGGTGTGTTCTTCCAGCACCCACTGGTCCTGGCATGGCCTGGTGGTTAGGGTGCGGGTTCCATTCCCATCACCGAACATGCTCGCCCTTTCAGCTGTGAAGACGTTATAATGGGAAAATCAATCCAGTTTTTCCATTGGTAAAGAGTAATCCAAGAGGTAGCGGTGCACGGTGTTGCCTAGCAGCCTTCCCTAAATTAGGGTCGATTAGCGTAGATAGCTCTCGAGTAGCTTTGAGCGAAATATAACAAACAAACAAGAAAGTAATATCCACTCTTGAAACCAAATTACAACCCATGGTTGACACGCTGCTGTTAGATCTGTACATCATAAGCTGGAGTAGTTTGTTATTCACGTGTTTAGGTACATACGTTATTTTATCTGCAGGGAGCTTTACGGAGCACCATACCGGTTCTTTCTAACCAGTGGTGCAACAATTTCAAACTGAAAACTCAAGAACACATGAGTCACTTTTCGTACGGTGGGGAATTCCGCGGCCATTTGTAAGGGTTTTGTCGTCCGAATGTTTAATATCTTTTTTACGAAATTTGAACGCAGTTTTTGAATTACATTTAAAGTCTGAATATATCTTTAACTGTTTGGATGATAATGCTGAGTAATGTTTCTTACAGAAGATTTTCAGGTGCTTAATTAACGACATCTGGAAGACCTGCGTTACATTTCAATATAAAACGTGTTTTCCAGCTTTTGAAACGAGAACAACAATACTGGTTCTTAGATTTTTGTTAGGCC